AGGCTTGTAGCAAGCTTGTTAACAAGTTGAGACAATTCCGTTCCATCAACTTGTCAAATAGATTTTTCGCAAAAGGCTTGTAGCAAGCTTGTTAACAAGTTGAGACAATTCCGTTCCATCAACTTGTCAAATAGATTTTTCGCAAAAGGTTTGTAGCAAGCTTGTTAACAAGTTGAGACAATTCCGTTCCATGAACTTGTCAACAAGAGTTTTCGCAACAGCCTTGTAGCAAACTTGTTAACAAGTTGACGCAATTCCGTTGTATCAACTTGTCAACAAAACTTTTCGCAACAGAGTTGTAACAAGCTTGTTAACAAGTTGAGACAATTCCGTTCCATCAACTTGTCCAAAAGACTTTTCGCAACAGGCTTGTAGCAAGCTTGTTAACAAGTTGACACAATACCGTCCAATCGACTTGTCAAAAAGACTTTTCGCAACAGGCTTGTAGCAAGGTTGTTGACAAGTTGACAGAATTCCGTTCCTTCAACTTGTCAAATAGACTTTTCGCAACAGGCTTGTAGCAAGCTTGTGAACAGGTTGACAGAATTCCGTTCCTTCAACTTGTCAAATAGACTTTTCGCAACAGGCTTGTAGGAAGCTTGTTAACAAGTTGACACAATTCCGGTCCATCAGCTTGTCCAATAGACTTTTCTCGACAGGCTTCTGGCAAGCTTGTTAACAAGTTGTGACAATACCGTTCAATCAACTTATCAAAAAGACTTTTCGCAACAAGCTTGTAGCAAGCTTGTTAACAAGTTGAGACAATTCCGTTCCATCAACTTGTGAAATAGACTTTTCGCAACAGGCTTGTGGCAAGCTTGTTAACAAGTTGAGACAATTCCGTTCCATCAGCTTGTCCAATAGACTTTTCACAACAGGCTTGTAGCAAGCTTGTTAACAATTTGAGACAATTCCGTTCCATCAACTTGTCAAATAGATTTTTCGCAACAGGCTTGTAGCAAGCTTGTTAACAAGTTGTGACAATGCGGTTCTATCAACTTGTCAACAAGACTTTCCGCAACAGGCTTGTAGCAAGCTTGTTAACAAGTTGAGACATTTCCGTTCGATCAACTTGTCAACAGGACTTTTCGCTACAGGCTTGTAGGAAGCTTGTTAACAAGGTGAGACAATTCCGTTCCAGCAACTTGTCAAACAGTCTTTTCGCAACAGGCTTGTAGCAAGCTTGTTAACAAGTTGAGACAATTCTGTTCCATCAACTTGTCAAACAGAGTTTTCGCAACAGGCTTGTACAACAGGCTTGTAGCATGCTTGTTAACAAGTTAAGACATTTCCTGAGACTGAGCATGCTTTCAGCTTTTTGAGCAAGGTGTGTTCGCAACAGACTTGTAGCTAGCTTGTCAACAAGTTGTAACAATGCTGTTATAAGGTTTTCACTCACAACTTGTTGACAAATTGTTTTAAAAATTGCTGGACGATAACAAGTTGTTGGAACAACGTGCGAGAAGTCTGTTGAGTTCAACTACCTTGTAGCAAGTTGGCGACTAGCCATTGACAAATTGTCAACAAGCTGGGAACAAGCAGTGCGAATACATGGCAAAAACGCACAAGTTTTTACAAATCTGTTCACTAGCTGTCGACAAGTTATGTTCGCACTGCTTGTTCCCAGTTGTTGTAACACGCTCGGAACAAGCTGTTGACAACTTGTAACACACTTGATGGCATTAATAGACTTGTTGCAAGGTTGTTCTAACAAGTCTGATACAGTCATGCTATTACAAGAATGTTACAAGGTTGACGACACAAGGTTGTAGCAATACTGTTATATCATGACTGTGTCGGACTTGTTGGAACAACCTTGATACAGCCTGATAATATCAACAAGGTTGTTACAAGTTGTAATAATATACATAAAGGTATTACTCGACTGTGATTGGTTGATTTCAGTGCAGTTAATCCCAAACAGCAGTGCAATTTTCTGTAATCACAGTGCAATTTTCTTGAATCACAGTGCAATTTTTTGTAATCACAGAAATCACAGTGCAATTTTTTGTAATCACAGTGCAAAAATCTGTAACAAACTTATCTGATTGGTGGAAAAACATTGTGATGATAAAATCAACGAATCAGTTTAATGCAATTTAGTTTAAAGAAGCAGCGGTCACAGATCGCTTCAAAACAAAACAAACATGGCGCCGCGCTATACAAAGTAAAAGTTCCTTTCGCGTGGAAAATATGGCTTTATCTTTATTTTTAAATGGAAAAGCATTTACCTTAAACAAGACTAACAAAAATTACACAGTTGAGTGGCATTTTCAAGCTGTTAGCGTTGTATAATGTGATATAACAAAGCCAGGAAAACTTTGCCAGTGGAATGTTCGCTATAAACGCGTAAGTTAAAACTACAATTGTCTCGAACATTTTTATGTAAATTATTAATAAGTAATAGCATGGTTTCTCGTGCAATTTGGATAAACATGCACTCGTGAGTTTTTCAAAGACCTCAAATAGCACTCGTCCTTCGGACTCGTGCTATTTTGAGGTCTTTGAAAAACTCACTCGTGCATGTTATATCCAAATTGCACTCGAAACCATGCTATTACCTATACTTAACAGCGTGTTCCAAACTTGTTGACAACTTGGGACAAGCAGTGCGAACACAACTCGTTGACGGCTTGTTGGCAGACTTGCTACAAGATGTGAGATTTTTGCGTGTGTTGTTATGGCGCTTGCGTGGGGTAGTTAACATAAATTAACATTAAATTAACATAAACTAACATTAAATTAACATAAATTAACTTAAATTAACATAAATTAACATAAATTAAACATTAATTAAAAGTTGATGAACGATCGCTGACAAGCAATTTAAATTGATCGTGGTCTCGTTTGGTCGTTTATTTCAAAATGGCGAACAATTTCGTCAATTTCGATTCAAATAATCGTAGAAGAAGGCTCCTGATCTATTATGAAAGCAATCGTTATGCATTTTTGCGTACAAAATACAAACATTATTACTGAGGGAAGTATTTAATTTGTTGGTTTATGAGTTTCGACCTTAAAACTGGCCAAGCAAGTGATTTTGTCTAGATCTTTGGATATGTGGTATTTTATATACATTTATATCAAGAGTGCTATGGACATCGTGTCAACATGTTTCTAAAATGTTTATTTTGCTAACATATGTCAATGAACTGAAGAGAAGCCAATACGTCTGCTGGATCCGGAAATGAAAAACTAGGTATTTTAATACAGAATTATACTCAGGAAAAATTTCTATTTTCCGCCATTAATGGGTTTTTGAATTGTTTTTGAATGGTTTTTGAATGTCCTCCTAATAAAGATTTACCATGTATACTATCAATGTGAAAACTGAACTCTTTATACCATTTTTGGTTATTAAATGGTAAATGGTAAATTGGCAAAAACCATGATGTACAATATTTACCATTAATGGTATTTTCCTGTGCACAGGAAAAAACCAAAGTACCATTAGGGATGCTAAGATGGGGGGGAGGGGGCTGAGATTTTTCCAGATGAAAAAAAGGGGGACTGTAATTCTGGTAAACCAAATCCTGGGGGGGACCTAAAATTGAAGCAAGATACATCCATAAACTTAAAAAACTCAATAATCAGATTTACATAAATTTCAGAGTGCCTTTTTTAAGGAATTTTCACTGGGGGGCAAAGCAGGAAAAAAGGCAGAACGAAAAATATGAGCCGTCAGGGTTTGGCGAACACGCGAGTCTGAAGAGAGATTTTGTAAAACTTTAATTTATTAACTTCACCTATATAAACAATAACTTCAACTCTTTGTAGCTATAATTGTACAGCTATAACCAGTGGCGCAGCCAGACCTTAATTTTTTTTGGGGGGGTGAACCTCACGCCGAAGATGTGAGACCGTCTAAGAGGGTCCGGGGGCATGCACCCTGTCCCTGAATTGCGATTTCAAGATTATAAAGATCCGAAGATTATAAAGTACATCGAAGACATGAATTTTTCCAGACATTTCTACTTGGAATTAAATAAATTGGAAAAGTCACCTTGAAAAATAGGAGGAGGGGTCAGTGTTACCTTATTTGGAACCTCTCTGTGATGCTGGGGGGGGGGGG